CAATTTCTTGCTTGCAGATATAGAGCACTATTACATGCTCTGCCTCTCTATTCATAGCACTACTGATGGCAATGTGAATTTTACAAATATAAAATAAATACTCAATAATAGACACAGCTACTGTGGGAGAAGTGAGATGAGGGAAATGATGGCTGTGGAAATGTGGCAGAATCATTGAGCTGGGATGAAAGGATTAACCAAAGGTCAAGTCTACCATCTTACTAAGGCATTTAGCTTCTGTCAAGCTTATGTCTGAAAAGGTTGAGGTGTGTTTATATTTTTAACTCACTTCAGTTATGGTTAGGTGAGGCGTTCCAGTGGCATTAAGCTAAGCTTCACGATGACAGCAAGGCGGGAAGCAATGAAGAGAAAGCAATAATAAACCTCACATTTGATATAGCTCCTTTGCCGTTGAATGTCTCAAAGCATTTTGCAGTATATATTATGAAGTGTAGTGACTGTGCATTTTGGAGGTGATTACATTCTATTACATTGGCCTCAATGTGCCTGTGGTTGCAGATCCTGGAAGCAGACATTTAGATTTATTCCACTGGGGGTCGAACAGACTTTTCAGCTCATCTAAAGTCTTTTATATGTAAAACTCTTAATGGCACAGGTATTGCTAGTGAAGCATTCTGGATAGCTGGACGAATAATACCATGATTGGTTATTTACAAGCTGCTAATCTAATAATACCATAATAATGCTACTGTACTTGTTTTGCCTCATACATTAGAACAATATAAACGAAGCAATGGGATTTTGGGGGGTGGGGGGGATGCTGACATATATACCTGGAAAGATAGAGAGAATGAGACTCCAAAAGTGACAGGGTTGCTGGAAAGAAGGGAGAGAGAGAGAGATGGAGGAAATGAGGGGGGGGGAGAAGGAAGCCAAATGTGACACTGTGGAAGTACAAGACGAGGAAGGAGAACAAAACCAAGAGGAGCCTCCAAGTGAGGAGTAAGTAACCATAGCAAATGTGAAACGAAGGGGTCACATCCTTCCTATAGTCCCTTTTCCTCTATGAAATAGCTTCTGTCACATGAATCAACGGAATCACGGCTAGAGGGTAGAGAAGATGGCTAGACTCCAGAAAGCCCTGCTCACTGCACTGGAGAAAGAGCTGTTCGTTGGGGTTTTCAGAGAGCATTCGCTCTCCCGACTAAAGCCTCCTCGGCGGGGGAAATTAGCAGCAATTAATCAACCTTTCGTGCCTCAACTCTAATCCATTCCTTTATCTGGAACTGATTTGGCATTCAAACATCTCGCGGAAAGGAAACCAGAAGATGCACACAACAGCTCGAGATTTGTTAAATGCCTTGGGACAGCCTCCCGATGTGAAAGACGCTATATTGTTGTAACTTTGGATTGTAACAACCCGAGCTGTGCAGACATTTAACCACTGTAATCTTCTCTGGATGGGGAGATGGGAGTTGAGTCAGAAGGTTGAGGGTTCAAACCCCAACATCAATGCTTGGGAGCTGAACTCCTACAATTATGCATGGAGATGGCGCTTGTGTTTGTTGATGCCCCATTGCCCAACAAGGTGGACGATGGGTTTGCTGGATGGGAGGAGGAAGAAATATTGCTCTCAACCTGCGGAAAGTTTGCGGTCTGTCTGTCACCTGAGAATTAGCCGCTCTATCATCAGGAGAGCTACAATAGGCCCCGCGCTGTTTGTCTACCCTCAAAGTCAAAAGGTCGTGGTGGACGTGAGTCAAAGATGAGGCAGGAGAGGACCTCCGTCTCTTAACCGTGTGAGAGTTGCTGTCGGTGAGAATTTCCCAAACATCTGTTGAATATGGCCTGAGATTGGGACAGGAGTAACTGCCTGTGTGGTTTGATCCTCATAATGTGTTCACAAAAGCTAAGTACCGCATGGGAGAAATCGCTTACCAATTGGAGCTGCAACATGAGAGTGTGCCAGCAAGGCATTGGAAAGACGCACTCCACTCTTGGCCAGACATTTTCAGGGCGGCCCTGTTTATTTCCTCTGGTGAGAAAAGACTGCTGGCTGAAAATTGCTACCTGTGGTGTGTTAATTAACACTGTCATTAATGACCACATTGTTGTTAAATGTCATCAACGGGCATCGACATCAGAAACTGTGGGTGTGACTCACTGACTTTATCGCTGAGATTTGACAGGCACTTGCCTTTACCAGACTGCCAGTCAGCGGGATTTACAGTAACTTTCATGTCTGGAAATAGAAGCAGAGTGGGACATCTTTAGCATGTAACTGAACAAGCAGGAGCGACTTCAGTTTAACATCTCATATGAAGGATGGCACTTCCGACAATGCAGCTCCACCCCCGGCACTGAATTGGAGTGTCATCCTAGAGTAGACAATGAACTCAAAGTGTCGTTGTGGGGCCTGAACCCTCAACTTTCTGACTCCGAGGCGAGACTGCCACCAACTGAGCCAGGCTGATGCTTAAGACACGTCAAATAAAACTGTCAAAATGCCTTGCTCTCGCTAGATCAACACAATTCTGAAGAGCAAACAAGTATCCACCTCCTATTTATGAAATATAGTTTGATGGCTGCTCAAGTCAGAGGTGACTCTGGCAACAGAACAGAATACAGCACGTCTCTCAACCTCATAAAGGATCTCATAAATGCTCAGTTTGCTGAATAGCACGTACCTAACAGCCACAGCACATAATAGTTTTAACTGAATTCATAACCAAATTCACTGCGGAGTCAGTGATTGTGAAATACGGTCTCTGTGGGAGTTACCATGTGCTGTTTGCTTGTTGTAGCAATGTTCCTCTGCCTTCCCATTATGAGCACCCGATGAAAGCTTTGCTATAGCTTGCAGATGGTTTTGTTTGCGCTTTAGAGTTGAGCATTCACCTCATAGCTGTTTGTAGGACATTGCTGGGCACAAATTGCCTGCTGCGATTCTCCACAAATACACAGTAACCACACTTGCAAGCAATTTCCTGTGATGTGATTTGAGGTATTTTGACATTTTAGGCCCTGTATCAAATGCCAGGATTATTATTCTTCTCCTTATTATACTTTGTATAGTAAAAATTTGGGAGATCGTCACTCATCGAGGCATTGTTTAAGCTAATAATTTCACACCCTTTGGCTGTCTTACAATTTTTACAAATGGTCTGCCTCTTAGAAGATAAGAAAGATCCTTTATAGAGTAGGCAAATATAATTTTTATCATGAGCTCCATCCCACCCACTCTATCTCCTCGGAAAAGTTCTGCGTAGGCAAACCTTGATCCCCAAATGTGATCCAGGAAATCCTACAGAGTATTCATTTGTTCCTGCAGAAGATTTCCACATTTGTGCTGTTAAATTCTGGCCTGTTTTCTTCCGCAATAATATTCTACTTCCACCTCCTCTCCATAATCTATTCTTGATAACAATAATAATCTTTGCATTTGTTAGAGAGCCTAGTCACGTCATTGAGATATCTCAAAGCGCTTCACAGAACATATTATAAAGTGAATTGACTTGTGTTTTATGGGTGAAAATACTCTTAGCTATACTCAGCAGAAACATGGGCAGTTGGTAAAGGGTCAGGAGGTTCCCCCCTGCACATTGTTTCATTGTAATGATCTTCATGTCAGAAGTCCTCTGAACATGAATTTCAATCAAGTTCTATTTGATCCAATCGTCCAATGATACCAAATTTTGATTAGAAGTGCCTGTATTATTTTAATTACATTCCCCAATGAATTTCGTTCCCTATATAAAATCCGACTTAAATCTTGTTAGGTTTGATTCCAATCATATTTTCTGAGATTCCCATTTGCCCTGACCTCCATTTTAAACAACCTAAACCACAGTTAAATACCTTTCTAATAAGCTAATCATTCCATCCAGTATTAACTCTTACATGTCATGAACTTGTATGGGGAGAAATTATAATAAGAATATAATAATCCTTGCATTTGATATAGCGCTTTTCAAGTCTTCGAGATTTACTGACACATTTACTGATATAGCCGGGTCTAGATTTACGCCATTTATGTTGCATTTTAAACATCAGAATCTGAATTCAGTCTTGAATTTGTTGTCCGTTTTTTCCTCCAGTTCGTAAAAGAAACGTACAGAAAACCAGCTTCAAAATTAAGGCAGTATTTAAGAATGCGCCAAATTCTGGACGCTCTAAAATGCTGCGTGAATATAGTAAAACAAATTACCCCGATGGAATTGTCCGTGGGTTCAGTTTGAATGTTGGTAGGATTCCCACCTCTAGATTAGAAGGTTCTGGTTTCAAGTCCCTCACTGGAACCTGAGCTCATAATTTATACTGACACTCTATGTAGTGCCGGGTGAGTGTTGAATGGCTGGAACTGACTTGGAGATTAAACCAAGTCCCATGCGTGCTTCAGAAGCTAATTACAGTATATTCAAGAGCAGGCAATTGTCCTACTATCCTGGCCAATATTAATCATATATACAGTCAATTCACTTTACAGGATATCCTGTGGAGCGCTTTGAGACACTTCGAAGACATGATAGGCTGCTATATCAAATGCAAGGATTATTATTATTACTTCATCCAATCCCCTCCCCTTCCGCCCACCCCCCACCACCCCCCCCGTCACCAATAAATACATTGATTTCGGCTCTTCCAATTTCTGTGGTTGCTGTCATTCGTTGGTCATTGCATAGCAGTCACTTCACTTCAGTGCAGCTCATCGAGTGAAACACTTTGAAGGGTTTTGACGTGATAAAGCACTTCATCGAATCCGCTAATTCTGCCTTAAACTGCTCCTGTCACAAGTTGCACGATCACGTATGATATTGTTCTTCGCGACATGAGAAGATAAACGCACCCTATAATGTGAGCGTGTGCTCTTACCCTCGAGCTGTACTCTACGTTACGCTCTGTGTGCTCGCTGCTGTTGCTGTTAATTTTCCGTCCGGTGTTCTTGCAACCAGCTGTGGAATTCCAACCAAGGTCAACGTCATTTACAGTAGTTCAAGGGATCAGGATTCATGTAACTCTATTGTTCTTTCTTGTTCCAGGTAAAGCTTATGCTCCCGAATTCTTCTACGACACACCCAGCCCGTTATGGCAGAACCGAGCTCGTGTATACTCTTATATGCTGCAGTGGACTCAGATGAACCCGAACGCTGTCGACCGAATCCTTGCGTATCGCTTAGGAATTAAGCAGGTACAGAGATTTAATAACCTATTGCTTCCACGGGGGCAATTTCACACTTTGCTAAAGGCTGCTTCTTAATAAACAGCGGCTATGAACAAGGAGCACTGTCGAGTGCTGTGGGTTCTTCCACACGAGTTGAGTTTTAAACCCACGCTCAGGGTTTTTCATTTTAATGGAAATTAATGTGGAGAAAGAGAAGCGCAACTTTGTTACTGTAATCACAGAGCATTGTCTTATAATGAAATAACACGCATTTGTTACAGTCAGCTTGGGCAAGCAATGCAAAGGCTTTTCGTTTAGAATCAAATGAAGTGCAGTTGCTCAGTCACTTGTTGAGATATGGAAAAGATGTGTGTCCCCCCTCCCTCAGCTTTGGTTACAACGTGACTGACTTTGAGGGAGCAAAAGTCATTACCTTAGAGACCACTTACAATGGACAGAAAAGTTTGAAAACCTTTCAACAATGAGGAGGTTAAAAACGTCAGTACAATAGCCAACTAATTTATTGTGAACGTCTCGTTCATCCTCTACTGCATTTCATTCCAGGTTATTCAACTGAAAGTTTGATTTTATGGATGATATATCTTCAGGCTTCCGTTGTGGTTTGTACCGTATGATTGTCATGTATTTAAACAGATTTTGCCTTTCGATTGTAGCATCAGACATTGAATCAGCCAGTGAGATTTTATTGTATTGGTTCCAGAAGTAGCATTAAAGAGTAATGATGAGATAGCTGCATACTTGGATGTTGTGGAGTCCTGTAGCTCAGTGGTTAGAGCACTCGCTTTGCAAGTGAGAGACCTGAGTTCAATTCCAGGCAGAGGGCGAAACCTTGGGCAAGTTTCCTTACTCCTAATAATAATCCCTCCAAAACCAAAAACAATAATAAATTGGTCATTTTCAATCTACGACTGTTTGTGGGACATTGCTGTGCGCAATTGGCTGCCGCGTTCGCCCACAAATATATAGTCAATTCACTTTACAGTGTGTTCTGTGAAGCGCTTTGGGACGTCCTCCCGACGTGAAAAGCGCTATATCAAATGCAAGGATTATTATTATTATTATTACTGTGCAGAACAATAGCCTACCTTACTGATTGCACTATTGCAGTATTTTTGCACTCATCACAGGCTGAGCGTGCAGACTCACTTCTGAACTTCACCTATAGTATGGGGACTGATCGAGAAAACAAGTCAAATGAATAAAAACAAACTCTGTCTGGCAATGTGAAGTGATTTACTGGCCATTGTGAAAAAATTGCCGCGTTGTAATGTGTTCACAGCAAAATTTCTTCATAAACTCCTTCATACATTGCAGATACAGTAACACCCCTGCTGTTCATAATATACCAATTCCAGGTGCTTGACGTTTAGAGATGTAGATCTTTATTTTTTGTAACATGAAAAGAAGTCATATTATGTCTTCATATCTAGGTCTTCATATAGAAGCTCATAGCCTGTGAACAACACTGTGCCTTCTGCCAGTTTTGTTCATCACCAACATGAAATCTACTTTGAACTCACATATATTCTCACCTGGCACTCCAGTACAGTGTTTGGTTTGGCTGCATTGTTGGAGGTGCTATCCTTCAAATGCGATGTTAAACCGAGTGGCTGTCTGCCTGTTCAGGTTGTCGTTAGAAGATTCCACGGCATAATTCAGAAAGAGTTTCTCCCAGTGTCCCGGCCTTTAGTGAGACCGGAGGCCACGTGGATTTAAGAATGAGTGATCCCGAATGACTGCAGAGCAAGATTAAGGCTGGTATTCGGCATTCTAGAAAGGATATGATCAGAAATGGTTAATGGAACTCATATGCAAACATTATTATTAATATTATTATTATTTTTATTATATGACAACTATACGGAAACAGGATCTGATTTTGAAGCTATTGCATAGTGCTTACAATTTAATAATAATAATAATAATCCTTGCTTTTGATGTAGCACCTTATCACATCATTGAGGTATCTCAAAGCGCTTGACAGAATATACTGTAAAGTGTAGTGTTTTGTGGGCAAAACGCGGCAGTCAATTGCGTCCCACAAACGATGGTTGATGGAATGACCAAATTATTCCATAATTTTTTATTATAATCAAATAATATTTGGTTTCATCGTCAACCACAATTGAACCAAACCTTATCACTGGTCGTTATATTATTCTTAGGTTAAAAGTGACACGGAGCTGAAATACTGCGTACAGAAGGTTGTCAAGTTGGAGTGTACAGCTGATTGGAGCCTCCAGTGTGACATGGACCTTTTTATCTGCAGGGCTTGATGCTGACTGGGCAGGACATTGCAGAGGATAAATGGACGTGGCATAAATTATTAGTGACAAACCTGGGTAGATGTGTGTAAAGGTTACGTTCACTTTTACAGCAGGGATTCTGAATGCAATTGGAGGGCTCTTCAAAAAGAAGCACTTGTATGAAGTAAGAAAGAAGACCGCAAGAAACATGATACAATACAATAAAATACAAAATTACATTTGTATAGTGCCTTTCATGTCGGAAGGACGTCCCAAGGAGCTGGACAGTCAGGGATTTGGACCCAAATGACAGCAGTAAATCGGATGTCAGTTTTGTGTTCTGTGCCCAGGAGGCAAAACAACTGTATTGTTGCGAAATTTGGACAACATGGACTTGCAAGGGGTCTCAAGTAAAGCAGTAGGGGGTATATGGACTCAATCTAGAAGGATTGTATTGAAAGCTCAAATTATAGATTCATTCAAAAATTCGAGTAGCATTATTTTTTGACTGAAGGGAAAAGTTAAGCATGAATCCAGTGGAAGCTCAGCATAGCCCGAGGCAGAGTTACAAGAAACCTTAAAGTTTGCAGTGAATGGAGATCTTTTTGAGTTATCGGCTCTGACATATGACAGAACTATCTGTCTACATATTTAATTCAGCAGTTAGCATTCTGAAGGAATGGATTTAACAACCACAATAAATGACCTTGTTTTATTCCTATTTTCTTATATTTGTTACAAGACTGTCAGACTGGACTGGCAATGGTTTCAAATCACAGGATAATATAATCCAATGACACATTTGATCTGTATCCCTGAGATGCCTAAGATGAATATATAAATATATATAAATAAATGAATATATAAATCTAATACTGATGTGAATAGATTTTTACTAAGGAAGGGATATGGGGCAAAGGCGTGTAATTAGAGTTGAGGTACTGATTAGCCATGATCTAATAGAATGGGTGAACAGGTTCAAGTGGCTGAATGGCCTCCTCCTGTTTCCATGTTTCTATGCCATCAAACCTTAACCTGTTAGACTCTTTTGTCTTAAAATTTCACACTGGACAACATTTTGTCAAATACTTTCAATTTTGAAGCTAAAAGGTTTTACAGGCTAAAACTACATGGGATTTGGGGTCTCACTGGTTGTGAATTGACATATAAGTGCAGAGCTTCGCACACTGCAATTATATGATAATATAAATAATAATTCTACATTCCATCAGTTTCAAATAGCACCTTTCATGTCGGGAGGACATCTCCAAGCACTTTATAGGATCCCACTGTGAATTGGAGTGACTGTGTATTTTGCAGGCGAATACAGAAATACTTTAAGCTGTACCATTTGCTCTGACAATATACTGTATTAAAGTAGATCCCAGCCCTAAATGTCCTCAGCTTTAACTTGGTGTGAGCTTGATGTCTTTCATAACTTTACAGTATTCGAGACATAAATAATTCTGTGCTCCACGCTCGTCTCCCTTGTGTAATTATGTATGAACAAGATCTGAGGATTATGGCACTAATTATGCAATCATCTTGATGTTTGAAAGCTTTGTTTGAGTAATAAGATTTTAGTTTCAGTGTTTCCCTCATAATAAAATAGAAATACTGTTATTCTATAAATGGCAATTTAATTTGTTTTCTTTTATTATTTTTTATTTTGAAGATGTTTTGCTGTTTTGCTGAGTCTGGTGATTGCGTTGCGGTTCCTGTTTTGATCTGTTGGGATTTCCGACTCGTCAGCATAATTTAGATTTTGTGAATTAGTCGGTTGCTATTTAGAAATCTGAGGTTGGTTGATAATAATAATAATAATCCTTGAATTTGATATAACGCCTCATCATGTCATCGAGATGTTTGAAAACACTTCACAGGTGAACGCTGTAGTCAATTTGTGCACATCAACATCCCACAAACAGTGAATGACTAATTTTATTCAAGGATTTACTGGCTAGGACACCAGGAGAAATTCCAGCTGAACAGGCAGACAGGACCTCGGTTTAACATCTGGTGTGAAAGACGGCTCTGACAGTGGCTGCCTAGACTCTTGAGTTCAAACCCTTTATAGTCCTTAATGTTTTCCTCAAGCATTTATCCAATTTGCTTTTAATTCCACTTGTGGATTCGGCTTAAACAGTTCATGTGTGCTAAGGCCTTCTGCATGAACAACCCTCTGTGTGTGTGTAAAAAAAATCTCTAAACTCCCCAGTGAACCGAGCTACTGGTTTGTGAAATGCTTATTTGGTAGGTTTGTGTTTGGCAGGACCTCGGAGCCTGGCGCATTTCATTCATGGTCATCAACTCAAAATTACCATCTGTGATGTGCTCATTATCGTACATGGCTGGTAAGAGCATTCAGCGAAATCAGTGAGATAACTTAAGACTAGTTGTGACCTCCGCCCCACACCCCCTCTCCCTCCCAATTCCATCACAGTTCTTCAGCCTGTAAGCTCCCCCCAGAATAGCCATTGGATTTGCTGGTATATCTCACGACCTGGCATTTCAATTCTAATGTAAGCTAAATTGAGACAATAAGTGGCATCACAGATGCAGGAGAGAGGGAGTGAGTAATGTATTGCAAGTATTGGTTCTGACTGGAGACGGGCTGGATTGATTCAGATTAATGTTATGACGCACTAAACCATACACGTGGCCCTATTACACCCTATATATCGTTCTGCCAATTAATGAAACTTATGTTTATGTCAGGAGCTCTGAGGGGGAAAAAAACTGTTTTCCTGGAAGGATGCC